TTTTACACAGTGGATGTGTGAAATTTAAAGACTTAATTTCACCTCAGAATTATTATAAATGCTAGTTTAGCACAAATTATAAAACTTATAGCTCTGTTAAAAATTTACTATAAAATTTAATGCTACGTTATGGTTAAAAATTGAAGAGTGGTTAATTATCTACATGAGAGAAGAAATTAGCAAGTTCATAATTTGGAGTTCCATTTTCACTTCTATTATAAGAAATTATTAATTATCAGAGCAAGTAATATTCAGCAGTAGTCCTTGAAAGCAATACGGAATGTTCAATGCAAAGATTTCATGGATGTGGATGGGGCACAAGGACCAGACTGTGGTTGTGCCCCTACCATCAAGAATTCACAAGAAGCAATACAGGAAACTGGTTCATCATTAGGGATAACTGTCAAAATTCTAGAAAAGCAGATTTCAAAAATCTGTGGGAGTCAATTTGTGGAAGCAAGAAAAATTGAGTCATGACAATTAAATGCAATACAAGATCCTTCAATGATACTGCATCCCCCCTCCTCCACCCAAAAAAAGGACACATTAGGACAACTGGGGAAATCTGGCTCTAAATCGTATATCAGACAACAACACTGTATCAAGGTTAAATTCCTTGAGTGTTACAGTATGCTTACGCAGAAGAATGTCCTTGCTCTTAGGAGATATACACTGAAGTATTCAGTATTCCTAAAAGGTTCAGTAAAAAAAAAAAATTGTATGCGTGTGTGTGAGACAGAGAGAGAGAAGGGGAAGAAGACAGCATGCAAATGCCGCAAAATATTAACAACTGCGTAATCTAGATAAAAGATATACACGGGTGTTTGCTGAACTATTTTTATACTTTCTCTAAGACTGACATTTTTTAAGATAAGATGGTAGGGTAAAAAAAATTCAGGTAGAGGTCTGGCCTCACGATGCAAGGTCTTAAGGTTGATGGGACATTTAATTTTTTTTCAATTCAAAGACAAAGTCGTAGAGGGAAACCACTATAATCTTTTTAAAAACTTACCATGCAAATGCTAAAAAGAGATGGTCATATTAAAGGACTAATATTAAACAGTGTTACGACTCTATGAAGACTTTTTTTCTGATAGGCTAAGGCACAGGGCTGAGAGTTTTATTGTTTTGTTTTGTTTTAAACCATGCTCACTAGAAGAGGGCTGAGCACTAACATTTTTGAGAGCCTAGACACTCTGCTGGGGATTTAAAAAAACCATCTGTCTTAGTTATCTAGTGCTGCTATAACAGAAATACTATAAGTGGATGGCTTTAACGAAGAGAAATTTATTCTCTCACTGTCTAGCAGGCTAGAAGTCCAAATTCAGGGTGCCAGCTCTAGGGGAAGGCTTTCTTTCTCTGTGTGTTCTGGGGGAAGGTCCTTGTCATCAACCTTCCCCTGGTCTAGGAGCTTTTCAGCACAGGAACCCCAGGTCCAAAGGATGCATTCTGCTCAGGCACTGTTTTCTTGGTGGTATGAGGTCCCCTATTTCAATTTCTGATTCTCTCTATTATATCTCAAAAGAGACTGACTCAAGATACAACCTAATACTGTAGATTGAGTTCTGCCTCATTAACATATAACTGCCTCTAATCCTGCCTCATTAACATCATAGAAGCAGGATTTATAACACATAGGAAGATCACCTCAGATGACAAAATGATAAGACAATCACACAATATTGGGAATCATGGCCTAGCCAAGTTGACACACATTTTAGGGGGACACAATTCAATCTATAACACCATCCAACCTAACCCTTGGAACAAGCTTGAATACAGCTGTTGAGATCCCAAACTGAAAGAAAAGGAAAATAACAAAGTAAAACTCTTATGAGAAAAATAACTTACATGCAGAGTCACACAGTTAAGTAGGAGGTTTGAATTTGAGTCTGTATAACTCCAAACCGTAGGTTCTTTCCCATAAATGTGCCAGATAAACAATGATGCAAAAGGATCATTGTTTGCTTTGTTTTACTCTTAAGGAGATTTGTTCAGCTGCTACTTCTACTACTACAATTAATTTTTAATAATAACTACAACAATAAATGATATATTATTTTCATTTTTCTACAAAAAAAAAGAGTAATCTTCCAAAACAGAAAGATTCCTAAAAGGTTCAGTAATAAAAATGTGTATGTGTGTGGGAGGGGTGGGGGTGAATACTAAATAGCTAATAGATAAGTGGTATCTTGGGTGAAGGGTGAGACAGTATACAATACAGGGGAAACTATAGCACAACTTGTACAAGGAAAGGTCATGGAAGCCCCATAGACACATGCAAACTCCCTGAGGGACTGAACTGCTGGACAGAGGGCTGTGGGGACCATGGTCTAGGGCAACATCTAGCTCAATTGGCATAAAACAATTTATAAAGACAATGTAATGTTCTACATTCTACCTTGGTGAGTAGTGTCTGGGGTCTTAAAAGCCTGTGAGCGGCCATCTAAGATACTCCACTGGTCTCATCCCTTCGGGAGCAAGGGAGAATGAAGAGAACAGCATACAAGGAAAAGACTGGTCCAAAGGACTAACTGTCTACAGCTACCAAGGCCTCCACCAGACTGAGTCCAGTACAGCTAGATGGTGCCCGGCTACCACCACTGACTGCTCTGACCAGGATCACAACAGAGGGTTCTGGACAGAGCTGGAGAAGGATGTAGAACATAATTCTAACTCACAAAAAAAAGACCAGATTTACTGGCCTAAAGGAGACTGGAGAAACCCCGAGAGTATGGCCCCCAGACACCCTTTTAGCTCAGTGGTGAAGTTATCTCCGAGGTTCACCGTTCAGCCTGGGAGTGGACAGCCCCATAAAACCAAATGAGCCTAACGAGGTACAGGAGTCCAGTGACAAGGGCCAGAAGGCAGAAGGGGACAAGGAAGCTGGTGATAGGGAACCCAAGGTTGAGTAAGGATATTGTTGATGTGTTGTGAGATTGTTAACCATTGTCATAGGCAATATTTGTAGTAACTGTTAAATGAGAAACTATTTTGTTCTGTAAGCCTTCATTTTAAGTGAGAATAACAGCACAATTGGAAGAGTGTAGCCCATGTCACTGAACTGTGCATGTAGAAATTTTTGAAATGGTGTATCTTTGGCTATGTGTATTTTCACCAAAAAAAAAAAGGTTGAGAAGTTAAAGGGTTGACATGTTGTGGGGTTGTTAACCAAGGTCATAAAACAATATGTGTACTGTTTCATGAGAAACTATTTGTTCTGTAAGCCTTCACCTGAAGTACAATTAAAAAAAAAAAAAGTGTATGTGTGTGTGTGTGTGTGTTTAAGTGAGTGTGTGTGGGAGAGAGAGAGAGCAGAGGAAGAAGACAGCGTGCTAGTGGGGTAACATATGAAGCGGGGAATCTAGGTAAAGGATATACAAGTGTCTGTTAAACTATTTTTGAACTTTTCTCCAAGCTTGACATTTTTCAAAATAAAATGTTGGGGCAAAAAAAAAAGAATTCAGGGAGATTATTTACTTTAAGACTGTTAACTATGTTTCTACTGAAAGAATTTCTATGTCATGAAGACAAAAGGTCCCAGTACTGATTCTCCCTTATTCTTCCCTCCTCGTTTCTACTACTGCTCACAAAAGACTGCACACACTACATTAGAATATGATCACGTTTGATAGCTTGGGATAGTTTGGGATACAGTTTCATGCCTTACTGGTGTAAATATAATCTCCCATTCCACAAAAGGTATTACAGTCTACACATTTTCAGCATTTAAATCAAGCATGCCTTGAGATTACAAAAAGCTCAGGAGGGTAAAGTAGATACCATCCCAATATACCACAACGTCCTAAATTCTGTCTTTGTCTTTATAGACCTGGCTCATATATGATAAGGGTAAATTATACGAGTAACTGCCCACAAATTAAAAATAAAATTTAACCTTAAAATATCTTTAATATCACATGGCATAAGGTGACCTCAGAAAATAAATTACTCATTTGGAATATATGAACTCCAAAGAAGGTCTGTTTGAAATGTTTTTCTTGCATATTCAATACAAAATTTCCAGTTACATTTTAAAAAGTTATTTTCTCCAACCAAATATAATAAAACTTCATTTGTCCTTTATTATCAGAGAAGGTATTCCACAGAGATGATTTTACAAATAACAGTTTATCTATTTCAATGCTCAAACTTATTTTACTTAAATAATTTTAGAAAGAAATGCCCTTAATTGTATCCCATAAACAGTATATTAAACCTAATTTAATCACTTGTTAATGTCTAGACTTGTTGATAATGTCTAAGGTCTATCATTGTGAATACGAATTAGGAAACTGCAGTATATTTAAGACAGTAGTAGTCTCAGGGACATTAGCAAATGTAAAGCATTTGCTCCTATTCTAAATGGCCCTATAACAGGTTCTTATATCTGCATTTTTAGAGTTTTCCTGTCCCTTATTAAAAACTCCCACTCATCACTTTTTCTAGGGTGCCCTTTATCCATCTTCACTTGTTCTACACTGTGGCTGGTAAATCACATAACCATGTTGTTGTTGTTAGATGCCGTTGAGTCAATTTCAACTCGTAGAGACTCTGTGTGACAGTAGAACTGCCCCATAGGGTTTTCTAGGCTGTAATCTTTATGGGAGCAGATTGCCAGGTCTTTCTCTTGCGGAGCTGCTGTCTGGGTTGGAACCGCTAACCTTTCAGTTTGTAGCCAAACCCGTAACTACTGCATCACCAGGGCTCCATTTTATCAAGAGCAAGAATAAACAAACTGGGGTGAGAATTTCCACCTAAAAAGGTACATCAGTCTCAGTGCACAGTGGGAATTTATGGTTGGCCACTAAGAGGTCATTTTCAATTATTTCTCAGTCCTTAATTATATACTACATAGTTGTGTTTTCTGGTAAAATGACTGCCAGATAAATTATTACACTACATCAATTATTCTCTTCATACCTTCATGTCCGACACTATGTTCCTTTTTTTAAAATGCTACCATAAGTGAGCAAAATCCATAATATAATCAGGCTTACCTGAGGCACGCCTTGTGAATCGGTTTATTACTGGAGCTGAAAGAAAAAGTAGAATAATAGGATTAGATAAAAATCTAATTTTCCCAAAACCCCAAACTGGTAAGTTATCCCATAATTTTAGTAGGAGAAAAATATGAATGAGTAAATAACACAAAAGAAAATATCACAAATATATGAAAATAAAATGTTTAAATTTGCTAGTAATCAAATAAATATAAAATAAAATCAGTATTTCACCTATTAAACCAAACCAAAAAAAAAAAAACCAAACCCACTGCCACTGAGTCAATTCTGACTCAGAGCAACCCTATAAGACAGAGCAGAACTGCCCCATAGCGTTTCCAAGGAGCAGTTGGTGGGTTCAAACTGCGAACCTTTCAGTTAGCAGTCCAGTTCTTAACCACTCTGTCACCAGGGCTCCACCTATTAAACTAGTCTTCCCGAAACACCTTAATAAAAATCCCTAATTACAGAGAGCCGAAACTACTTAACTAGGAACAGTGTAAATCTCTGCAATGCTTTTGGAAAACAATTTACAAAAGCAATTACATCAAGTGCCATAAAGGGTTTGTATCCTTTGTTTAAGTAGTCCGACTTATGGAGATTTATCTTAAATAAATAGTACTAAAGGAAAAACTATACATGTATAAATAAATATATTCAGCAGCATAATAAAATTCATAAATGTCCATGAATGCTGAAATCATTACTAGGTCAGGCACAGCACATCCCTGGTATTCTCAGAGTTCACATTTGTGGTTTTGACAATTGTTGCACAGCCCAGAGGTCCATGACATGCAAATCTGTACACTGGTGGCTGCAATCTCAGGCTGGTGTGTGACAGTGTGTGCATCACTCAACTGTCAAGCTTACCATCTCCCCACTCCGCTGAGCTCTGTTGTTTTCTTCTTGGTTTTGCTTACGTAGTTATTGCAAGAAGTGAGTTAAAAAACAAACGCACAAAAGCAACCCTTTTATTAGGGATGCAGGTAAGTTTACAGTTAGTATTATGTATAGAAAAGAGACTACTATACAGTACACTTTAGCATGATAGTGTCATGGGTCTACAATAACGTACATGAATTCAATACTTTTACAACAGTAATTATGGAAATTGTTTACATTAGGGAAACAGGACAAGTAAAAAAGAAAACTCTGAATTTTTATCAGCTCTACGGTTCTACCACATGAAAAATAAGTATGCACAGGAACAAGTACTCTAAGTAAATTTTGACTACTGACTGTGGGCCAGATACTTTACATTAATCCTTACAATCATGCTATTAAATATCAGCATCTTCATATTACTGATGAAGAAATTTTACAGTAAGGCTCAGAGAAATTGGATTAATTTACTTTTAATTACATGGCCACCCCAAGGCAGACCTGGAGAATTTGAACCTAGGAGCATCTGGCACCAAAACGCTGCCTCACAGAGAAGAGAAAGTGAAAATACTGATTCATAAGATTGCACGATAATGGGCAAATATTTTCTTCCAGTATGATTTATATTGTTATTATAGATTACCTTTGTGAAATAACTCACAAATGCAACTATTAAAATATTATAGTTTACAGCAAAATTATATCCTCCAAATTGATCAAAAGAGATAACATCTGTTATTTATATTCCAAAATAACTGAGTCATTTATTTGCACAATCACAAATTACTTATATAAAAATTTCCATCAGTTTTCTTAGACACTTTCAAATCTTCTTTTCACAACTCCTTCAGGACCTAGTCTCCTAAAGAAAGCCTCCCCTACAAGCTACAAGGACAGTGAATGTAGACAAAGTGCAAAAAAATTCAACCACAGGAATGCAAAATGGATAGTGCAGGCAGATAAAGGCAAGATGAAGGTAAAAACCTATCTCAGCCTTGGGGCAAAAATAAAGTAGACATCCTCTGCCCTCCTACCCGCTTTAGCCTCTCCAGATGGTGAAATCGCAGAACTATGACTATGAGCTTCTGATATGAAATGTCGGGTAGTCTTTGTTTTCCTGGGGTCCCTTAGGTTTTTGTGTCTCTGTGAAGTGTTTAAGGCACAGATTTTCAACACCAGGGGCATCACCATTTAGAAAAGTTTTCTAAATTTGTGAGGGCAATTTTGATTGTCACAATAATTCGAGGATACCCTTGGCATTTGGCAGACAAGCTCCAGGATACTAAATAATCCACAGTGTCTAGGACAATGCTGTACAATACAGAACTGTCCCACATCCCACACAACTTTTGTACTGCACTGCTTTCAAATATCCCACTAGATATTCACGTAGGCAAAAAAAGCCAGTTTATAACAGTTTGAGCTTTGATCCTAACACTGTTTTTATACATAAACATGATTATTTTATGCAGTTTTTAATACACATTGAATTCTCCAAGATCCTATTTTGTTTTGTTTGGAATTTTACTAATAAATGTTCACCATTTCAGAAAATCACATCACTGCGTCAAAAGCACTTGTGGTATTTGAACTGCCAGTACAATACATCCTGATCAGACTACGTTTGTACCTTTTATATTCTTAGTGATTCTACATATAGGTGTGGGCATCTGACTACATTATGTCTTCTTGTATACCTACTGAAGCATATACTTACTGAAATACATTTTACTTAATATAACTTACTTTCCTTTATTTCTCCTTTATATTTTTGCTAGAAATCATATCAATTTTTAAATTGTGGGTATACAGAATTATATGACTATAATTTTCATTCCACGATTGTAAATGAGACGTTGGGTCAGACAGAGTTGAGAAGACTGAGTGCACCAGGCTAATGGTGTGCAGTGAGTAGTCACGGTAAACACCGGGTTTTGACAATTACCATGAATCCAATCCCTCAGCCTCCATATCTACTTGCAGGGATAAAATACAAGTGTTCCCTGCACAAACTTTTGGCAAGTTAACACCAACTTTCACAATTTTTCTAGATTTTCTGTCTAGCTACCAAAATTTAGAAAAAGGTTGAGATTCAGGGAAATAGAGAAATACGCATCTGGCCAGGGCCTGCCCGGTATTGTCTCTTCAAGAGCCTAAGTACAGGGAAGAGGAGCAGGAGACAGGTGAGGAACAACACCGCGGCGTTCGTGTAGTTACCTGTGAGATGGTGAAGGCTAGGGCACACACGGGGCACTCAGTGGCAGTTAGGAGACTGGCGCCTTCTACTATGACTTCTACCACTATTACTACTGGCGTTGTCGCCTCCCATGAAACTTTGGATGAATCACGTAATTGTGATTTAACTTCTCAACTTATAAAGTATGGAAAGTAAGACCTGCCCCTCTTCTTCCAGGGAGGTTTTGTGAAGAAAAAACAAACAACTAAACATCTTCGATAAACTGCTTGTGAACTATAAACTCCTATTCAAATGTAAGGGATTTATGTCTATATATTGTAAGCTAATACTGCCATTTTTAAAACTCACAAAGTAAACAACAGTACAAATTCTCAAAGAAATTAATGAAGTTCTGATACATGCTATGACACGGATGAACCTTGAAAACGTTACACTAACTGAAATAAGTCAGACACAAAAGGACAAATATTGCATGACTCCACTTGTATGAAATATCTAGAATAGGTGACTGCACAGAGACAGAGTTTATTAGTGGTTACCAGGGGCTGTGTGAGTAGGTTTGGGAGTTACAGCTGAAGAGATACTGATTTTATCTGAGTAATAAAAAACTTTAGCAAATAGTGGTGACAGTAAAACATGGTGAATGTAATTAATTTAACTGTCACTGAATTGAATTTAACTGTCACTTAAAAATGGTTAAAATGGAAAACTTTTTTTAAGGAATGTGTGTGTGAAAATCCACACGTAGCAAAACATAAACCAATTTGACAATTTTTACATGTACAATTCAGTGACACTGATTACATTACATGCTATGCATTGTGCCACCTTTCTCAATATCCTTTTCCAAATTATTTCACCATTATTAACACAAACTCCCTGCTGTCTAAGCTTCTCATCTAACCTTTCAAACTGCTGATGAAAATTTGATCACATATAGATGATTCTTTAAAAGAGCACAATACTCAAGGCAAACATTATTTACTAATTAAGCTGAACTATTATTTGGTTTAAAGATGACTTCAGGGGATACTTTTGGTTTAAGGTTTAAAGATTGTCTCAGGACAATAGTTTTGGGGGTCCTCTGCCCTCGAAGGCTCCAGAAAGTCTAGATTCCATGAGAATTTGAAATTTTGTTCCACATTTTTCACCATTGTGATCAGGATTCTTCTACAGAATCTTTCATCAAAATTTTCAATACCAAACCTTCATCTAAAGTACAATTAAAAAAAAAAAAAAGTTCAATACCAAAAAAATCAAACCCATTGCTGTCAAGTAGATTCTGACTCCTAGCAACCCTACAGGACAAAGTAGAACTGACCCATACGGTTTCCAAGGAGTGGCTGGTGGATTTGAACTGCTAACCTCTTGGTCAGCAGCTGAACACTTTGCTTAATCACTGTGTCACCAGGGCATATAGTATTAAAATGGCAAATTTTCATTATACATATTTTACCACAATAAAACTTGAAAAAACAAAAAAGTTTACATATGAAGATGTTTTAAAAATGACAAGTCAAATTAAATTTTCTCAGACTCTTTGTTGCCATCTTTAGATTTTCTTATTCTACCGATATTCTGTAGCATATATATATACTCACAGGAAAGTATTCATATACCCTGAAATGAAATATACACAATAATCTTGGACTCACCTGAAAAATTAGCATCCCTATCCTTCTATTAGTCACCTTTTCCAGTAATTAGTACTTTCTAGTAATAAATAAATCTGTTAACTGTCTAAATAAGACACGTTTATATACACATATGAACAGAAGCAATACTAGCAACTACGAGAACACAGAAGAAAAAAATAGAAAACTTGTTATTTGCCTGAGCAAACAGATATAATTTAAGAATATATTAAACTCCTAATATTTTCAAGAGATAAAACCTAAGATCTTAGTGAATCCTCAAAGAAAAATACAGAAATATTTATATAGGTTTGACTTTC